AAAGCGTGTTGGAATGATGGTGTTTATGAGGTGAGCGGTCAGGAAGGGCATTATATGTTGGAAAACGAGCAAGATATCTGTTAGCATTCACATGTATCTTAATGGCAGCTGCTCGGCTCTTGCAGGAGGTATGCAATTTGAAATGTTTTGTTTTTACATTTTGGATTTATTATTACTTATGTGTTGAACTTATTTATTTATTTGTAAAAAAGAAGCTGCAGTGCATGACATCATATCACAACCATTGCAGTGTTTGAAGAAATTTTTCACGCTCAAAGTCAGACATCGATTTCATACATGTTCACTGTAGAGGACACCAGGACTTAAAGCATGTTTATTACAGATTTTGGGAGACACAACAAATGAATAGAGAAAAAATTATATATCAATATTCCTATGAAATAGTAGATATTATTATGAAAATCATGCTAATTATTGCACTTATTTGTTCATTCTATGTTAGCCCGAGAACACATTAATATGCAAATTAGATACAGTTTATTTTTGTTTTTTTAAATCCAAGTAACAAGTTTCAAGTTTAGATTATTTAATTTTTAGTTTTAGTTTAGTTTAGTTTAGATAACTACAATGAATGACCCTGACTCTTGGAGAAGAATAGTGAATATACTGCTTTTGCTGGTATTTTAGTGAATATAATACCAGAAAATACTGCTAATTTAGCTGGTTTAATGTTGTGATGGACAACATTTCCCATCATTCTCTGTGATGAATGAATGATTTATACAAAGCATAAAATACAGATCAAGCGTAAATTAATCCCCAGACATCCCTTTTCCCCCACCTAAATTAGAATACACATCTCAGCATAATTCCAACTTCTGAGCTCATAAGTACAAACTTCCCAAGAGGACTTGAAGGCAACAATTGAAAATTGCCTCTGCGAGTGAAAATCAAGTACAAAAATGCACCTGTGTGACAATAAGATGAGGAAAAAAAAGGTTTATATTTAAATTGTTTTAGCTGTAAGCATGGCAGGCAAAATGAGAGCAAAAGCCTTTCTGAGCATTTATATTGAATAAAAATATATTTTGTGTGTTCAGCTGGAAAAAATGGCGATATTAGCGAGACAGACAGAACTAGACGATTTATTTTCGTGTGGCCTGACATTGTAACAATACAATTGTAATACATTGTATTGGGTATTAAACAGATGGCAGTGATTTAAAATTGCATTACTTCAAAACCGAGCCTTATCAGGTTGCTAATTGCATGCAGTAATAATTACTTTTTGTCTTCCTTTATTAGCATATCTGCACGACCGCTTCAGAAGAGTGCTGATTGGTCGGCAGGCTCCGGCAGGTTGGATTAAGATGCCCTGAAGCCCCGCTGGCCACCGCTGCGCTCTGTACTCAAACAGTTTACAAAAATTTAACCCAGTTGACAGAATATGCTAATCCTCAACGATAAAATGCCATTAAGAGCAAGCTGTTATGAGGGATTCAATTTGACATGCGCATGCAAAAGGCAAGGTCCCAAGATCGTTAGTGCAGCTAACTCCCTCATATTTAATTACCGCCTCTATCACAGGGGCTGGTAAAATATGGCCGTGATGCGAAATGACCCTTAATTAGATCGGCAAAGACTCTAGACAATTAATCCTTCAGCCCCTTCATTTGTGTGTATGTGTGAGTGGATATGTTTATTCTGAGGCTTTGCTTAATTAAAACTTACAGACGCTTGCAGTAGCACAGGAAAGGTTCCCGTGAGGGACAAACTGAGATGATAGACCCTGCCTTCCTACTGCTCTTTATATTCTGGCATTCGTGTGGTTGAGTGCCTTACTGATGGCATCCTTATCCTCAAAGACAGACCGGAAAAGCTGTTTTGTCAAGAGACTCACGCTGTCTTTAGGGGTCAAAGTGCTATGTGATTAGAGTAATCACCTCTTCAGCAGTCCATGAAGCGATTTTGTAATCAACGTATTATGGGTAAACAACTCATTAGAGTTTCGCAATACCAGAATTTCAGTAGCAGTGCAATTTAACAATTCTCAACCCCAATACTGATAGAACAGCAAAATCAAATATGTATGGAAGTCCGTATCTTTTTTTCATATCTCACAGTTGTGACTATTTCTCGTAAGAAGGACTTTGTCTCGCAGTGAGACTTTTAGCTTTTACTTGTTTCACAACCATTTCATCTGAGGCAGAAACAGGTTTTCATACATATATGCTAAATAAAACAATATTAAAAACAATTGTATTTAAATTAAGTAAAAAGTGTGTTAGTACATTGTTAAAATGAAGAAAATAATAAAAATAGAAAAATATTTATGCATTATTTTGTGTGTAATTGTCATTGCATAATAATTATTAATGTAAATTAATTAATTGTAAATACAAATAAATTAATTTAATTTTGACTATATTTCAAAATGATCTTTTAATTATTTTTAATATAAGGCAGAAACATGCTTCTAAATGTTATCTA